GAGATCCTTACCCTAAACCATTTAAAAGTTTAATTCTGAATACAGAAAGAAAGAGCGGTTTTGGCAACAATTGTTAACAAAATATTCGCTCTGATATAATAAAATCTACTTTCAAAAGCAAATGAGCTATATATTTGAGTTCTTATCCTTCATAGCATGTCATTTGCGAAGGAATATACTTCCAGTTCTCAAAACATTTTCCAATATTCATCCACCACTCGTTTCCATAAAGAAACAGCGTGTCATTATAAACTTCTAGGGCATAAAGGGAGTCCGAAGATAGTCACATTTGGCCAATAAGAATGTGGTGCGAAATTTCATCTAATAAAATGAACTAATAAATGATATAACATGTGATTTTTGCCCCTGATTGGTAGTCAAATCATCATTGGATCGAAGAAATCGAGGGATCGTAGATGGTAACTGTGTGCCAAAGAACGTGCATGTGGTCGGATTGTATCCAGGCACGTCAACTGCTATCGCAATTAGTTCCGTTAGTGTAGCAAATGTTTCATCTCTGGATATGGGGAGTTCTTCTCCCGCTGAATGGAGAAATGACCGATCTACACGTCGGCTTGAGGGAGATTACTCCTCCAGGTATCTCCCCCAGCAGCGGCATCGCCCCAGCCACGACAAGCTCCAAGTTCCCGACTGGTCTCCCGTAATGTGTGGTGGTAGAGTAGTGCATATAAATGTAAGGCAAGAGGATAGGTCAAGGAAGAGACAGGAAATATCGCTCGCGGTCAGTTTCTTAGGATCCTGCTCCGGCGTCTGCCTACATATTAATTGGAAAAACCATGGAACAATACTTCTCAGACCGGCTGGTGGCAAGAATTCTTCTGCGGTCAGCGGAAGAATTCGACCTAGCTATCTAGTCCGCCCTCGTCGGAACTCGAACGTCAGGACCTCCCGGTCAAAATCGCTGCAGACAATGGCAATGCTGTCTCTGAGCTAACACAGCCGACGTATGTGGTCGGAAACTTCATGTTACACATTCCATAAGTATGGTGCATATTTTTTGCTCGGGAGGTGGCGGTGATCTTCCTCCGGTGGATGGTGAGATGTCGCCGAACCACCCCTCCAACTCAAAGCTCCCGACCTGTGTGGTAGTGTAGTGGATGTAAAGTGTAGGACAGGGCAAGAAATGGAAAGGAATGATCGCAATCGGTTCGTGGCTCGTTTGTTAAGATACTGCCCCAGAAATTCGTCTGGAATTGCTCGGAGAAACCACGTAAAACTACCAACCAGAGCGGTTGGCAGGTAGAATTCTCCTACAGTCAGCGTCATAACTCGACCTAGCTATTCTAGCCGCCGTCGGGACTCGATCCTAGGACCTCCCGGCCAGAGGCACTGCAGTGACATCAGTTGATGCCCTGAGCCACCACTCCCGGTAGAAGGTATTGTAATGCTGCTGCAGAAATCGGCTATCTTTAGACATTAACTTGTATTGAGGTCTGTGGTATCGAAAAATGTATAAATCTTGTTCCTAGTTATAACAAATTACTACTTCTAACACGTCAGAATCCACGATTCTTGATACCATGAAATTCAAGGCAAAACGTCCCTGTCCGTCCGTCGTCAAGGCGAGCGCCTAAACCATTTGAGTGATTTGCTTCAAAATTGACATTGTCCGTTTTATCTGGACCAACGCGAGGCCCTGCGGGTCGGGAACATATTTTTAATTTTTGGGGAACTTTTCACGATGCCTTAACATTACACGCTAAAAAATGGCGCACCCCTCATTTGCGTTGAACTCTCCGAATTTCCGAAAATTGCAAAAGTTAGAAATAATGTGAGAAAGTTGGTACAGTTGTAGCACCACTAGTTGATCTAGAACCCTAATCGTTGAATATGTGTTACTTGTTCCCAGATGACAATATGACAGCTGATATTGGTGTATTGGATTGGATATACTAAGTTCGTATTTGTAAATAATAAACAAATGTTTGTGGATGGATGGATTGTTAGTGGTTCCGGGTGCGTTAACTACTAGTCATTAGTCCCGTAAATGTAATACATGTTTTGCTCGGGATGTGGCGGTCTTCCCCTGCAATATGGCGGTATACGGCGCCGACCTACCGTCGGTTAACAGGGTGTTCTCCAACCAGAAATCTCCCATCAGTGGGGAACCGCCCCAGCCGGGACAAGCTCTAATTTCCCGACCGGTCTCCCGGCATGTGTAGTAGTGTACTGCATGTTAGTGTAAGTATAAGGAGAGAAAATAGGACAAGGAAGAGTTCTGAAAGATCGCGCGCGGTCAGTTGGTTAGGGTACTCCCCCAGCATTGGTGTTCATTAGAGAGAACACGGAAAATTACCGATCAGAGCAGCCAGCATCCATTCTCCTCAAGACAGCGACTGAATTCGACCTGTCAAGCTAGTGTCGAAAATCCAATCAACGTCAGGACTCGAACCTAGGACCTCCCGTCAGAGGAACTCAAGTCACATCATTTTATGCCTTTGAGCCTTCTCTCCCGGTATGTTTGTGAAGTATGAAATGAAAAAGCATTTTGCATAGAAAGTATTTTTTCAAACCAACTTTTGAGTGTAATTCGCCATTCGAAGATGTTTATTATACAAAATATACTTAAAATTGAAGTAAAAGCTTATTTTCGAAGTTTCTTTGTTTCCTCCCTGGACATTCTGTATACATCCATAACTTGTAAACGGTTCAAGATATCGAAATGCGGTTTTCGCTCAACATTGCAGAATTGTGGGGTGAGCAATATGCCGTAAAGATATTGTTTAAAATATGTGTAATTTTTCGAGAAATGTATTCATCATTGATTTTTTAAATTGAACTATATAGTTATGTAATATGAAGCTGAAGCACCATGCTTCAGCTGCATTTTTGTTCTAATATTTATTGTTAATAAAGCCAATAAATATAGGTACTCATTTGAAAAGAAGCCTGCTGGATCTTAGGACCACTCTGAATAGGTAGGTTATGACGAGATAAAAATTTTTAATATATTCTTTCAATAATTATGTGCTATGTTTGTAATAATGGTAGAATTATCTTAAGTTGATCAAATTACCAAATTGTTCATCCGAAAAGTACTTCATTAATACAAATATAATTGGGGGAATGAAATCCAATTTAAACAAAATTACTGGTGCTACAACAACAAATTTTTTTTATATTATTATTATTAATAATAATGGTTATGTATAACTACAAAATTGAAACTTCTATCTCACTAAAATTTCAGCCAACACTAGGAAAAATCAAATAATATAACTCAAAATTAAGCCATAATTTAAAAAAAGGTTCAATGAAATGATTTCAAAGATCCAATATTGATTGCATTAAGAAAAAATTCATAGCATGAACATTGAAGATATATAGAACAGGTTCAAACAATTTTGAATTTTGAAATTTTTGCAATCCTAGTGGTTTTAACAAAAATCTCACTTATGACATATTACACAAAATTTGCCCTGTTAAAGGAAAAAATTAAAGAAAATATTTGAAGCGGCTTTCTCATGAAATACTATTTATGTATTTTTGTTGTTGCCACAGTTGCACGTACAATTATTCAAAAACTATTCATATTTTGAAAATTTGTAGAGTCATTGTTACTGCATTAAGATGTTTCGAGTAGTAAGAGCAAAATACTATCGTATTTTTTTTAAATACACCGTTATGAAGGACACTGATGACACTCTATATCCCTAAAGATATATTACGTGGAGTTCGTCCCTCTTTCTCATAAAAACATTTTGAGTTTGCACTGTGTGAAAAAAGTTACAACGCATTCTCATAAAAACATTTTGAGTTTGCACGGTGTGAAAAATGTTATAACGCATTCTACCCTAACACCCCATAAAAATTTGCAGTTTAAATAATAAAAGTTCACACTGGACAATACGTAAAGACAGTCAGCTGTGTGAAAAATACTATGATGTAAGTGTACAATGATATGCTTGAGAACAATAGTGCACAACACACTACGAGTAAATTACAATTGTCACAATTCAATTATTATCCGACAGTATTAACCGACATTAAATCATTTTACTTACTAGATTTAGAAAGTTATTTTCTCAGAACAGCTTTTTCAACTGTATGCATTTTTCCTTTCCCTGCTTAAAGAATTTTAATTTATCATTTTAATTACTTCAATAATTTTTTTTCTATGGACACAAAAGGATTTTCTTAGTGAATAGCATATTTGCTTACAACTGCCAATTTTCCAGGTCAGTCACTACTCTATTACAAAAGAGTTATTTTCATTAAAATATCTGAAGTTGTGAAAATTGCTGAAAATCAACATTTTTAGACCTTCCTTCTACAACTATATTTCTGAAGATAGTTTTCTTTCTTGCTGGAATATATTTTTCAAATTTAAAACTACAAATCATTTCAGGTTCCTTTTTCTAAAATATTGAAAATTCTCACAAAAATTAGAGGAATCATCTAAGAATTATTTACAGAAATGAAAATAAGATTTTCTCAAAAATAGCTCCAAATTTTTTTCTTTAAACTTTGTGTAAAGATAGAGCATACACATTACACTGCAAAATGGCAAAGACTGTGCTTCAAGTGCCATTTCCATTACAACTTTTGAATTTTCAAAAATGAAACATTTGAAAATTTTGAGAACAATTAACATAATATTTACATGTGAGGGATATTTTAGAGTTTAATGTGAATGATTTGTAAGTACAAATGCTTCTAATAATTTCTTAAGAAGTTTTTCAAAATCTCCAAGATTCAAGTGTAAATATTTCTTGCTAGGTAAAAGTAATTACCTACAAGTTACTGTAGGTGGATGGTCTTTGTATGTATACTAAATTGCATGTGGAGGTTTGATACACTTTCATTAAAATTCTTAACTTTTAAAAATTGCAAATCTTAGAAAATTGCCAATTTAAATCTCCAGCACTTCTTTCGTTGAAAAGACTTTCAAGAGATGCGTAAGTTCTAGTAAAACAGAAGTTACAATATTGCCATACTATGTAACCACTGCAAAATTACGAGAAAGTATGTGCTATTGTAACAGTAGTCACCAAGAATCATTTTGTAATAGAGAAATAGGAAATAAGGTATACATTGATTTTAAAGAAAGATGATTTAAAACACAAGGGACATTACTGACAACCAGAGAAACAATATGGCACTATCTGTTAAGTATACCAAGAAGAAGAAGGAAAATGACAATGGTAGAACGCAGAAATTCAATGGCTTAATCAATCAAAATTTAAAATATATCTATTCTTAAAATAATATTATTTCTTATTAATATCTAATACAACTTCAGCAAAAATTTGATTCACAAATGTTTGACAACAGCTTGTACATACAAAGCCCATGAATGTCCAAGCAAATTTTTAAACATGTCAACAAACAATATCAAGGAGTTTACAACAATATCTTTAAGATAATACAACAAAAACAACCCTTGTCAGAATTTTCCACTTTGTAATTTCAGCAGTTTAAAATGTTCATGGACAAGGTTTTGATTTGTATGATTATTAGATTAAGTATATTTTTCTATGTCAGAACAAGGCAATTTAGTGACCTTACAACGACTAGCACACTACTCATTCTTTTAGGATGATGAAAAACCAAAAACAGAGAATTTTTCAATGTCTATTGCACTATTCAAGATATATTAATCTACATTAAATAATCATGCATTTTCATGTATTTTCCTCATTAAGAGCCACAACTCCGTACACGACCAAAGTCATTTTTAAATACGAGCATTTGGCTAGAAGAGTTTAACTACTAAAATATTCCATTTTTCTAATTCGATCTGGATACACAGGTAACTATTTCAGACTACTTTGAGAACTATTTCCCACAGAAACAACACTAAACCATAAGGTTCTCAATTTGCTATTTAATTTTTTCTAATTCAGTGATATAATTGTAGATAATACTACCTAATAACTCCATTATTACAATCCACTTTTTAGCAGTTGCCTATCAATTGACTGATAAGGTAAATAGCTACTCTTTGATGAGCAATATCATTCCCAGGGCAAAATAATTTTCTCCATCATAAATGGCTCGGAACGTTCCCCTCACGATTTTCCGATTCATTCTTCTAGGAGAAACGAGCTATCTCAGTACGAGAATTTTCAGCTCCCTCTGGCACCGAGGGTGACAATTCATTACGTTTACTTATGTAACACCTAAGTTAACACAATTAATTACAAATAAATTTACTATATAATTAAGTTATCTGCAAGGTAACTAAAAAATATTTATTCGAATAATTAAAACCCAAGCATCAGTTGTTTTCTTCTGAAAATAAAAGGCAAAACAATGACAAGGGTTTTTTGTTATGAATGTTCTTTAATTAACCTTTGACAAAATAATACTAACAGACCAATTGAAAACTCTTTAAAAACTTGTCAGAAAATAAAAGTTGTTATACCTGTATTTATATTTAAAGTTGCAAATAGGAAGCAGAAAAAGTACAGGAACAACTCAGCCCTCACTTTCTCGAAGCATGAAGCTCCAAAGTCTTAAAGGACAGGTTTCAAGGACAATCAAATTCCCTAGCTTGGCTTCTTGAAGAGGAAGTAAAATAGGAATTCCATGAAATCCAATTTGAATACGTGTGTACTCAATACTGTTGGTTCCATTTCATAATAATTCATGAATCTATTTCAAATAAAAGTTTTTTGAATATGGCATGTGCAGAATAATGGAAAACCTAATGAGAAAGCTAAATATATTGCTTCTCTTAAATAGCCACTCTATTGAAATGGCCTCTTTGAGCTGCATGCTTTACATTTAGGTGATTTGACCCAAATCCACTGGGTTCACAGCTTAGTTTAATAACACTGAACTACTTTTGCTTTATTTCTTAAATAGCAGCCTTGCTTTCTTAATCTATGTGACTTGAGTTACTTCAAAACATTATTTTAACCCTGTCACTCAGTCATCTAGGGAAGCAGACCAAGGTGTCAACAACTGTAAAAACAATTATTTATGACCAATAAAACCAGAACTACTTTTTCCTTGAATATAATAAAAGTTGTACAGGCAAACTTAACACAGAAACAATGTGAATGATGGACTTCCACATATTCAGGCACTTTAATTAAATGTAGCAATACTTGAATATTATTTAGAGCAAATTTTTGCTGAAAAATTCAAGTAGAGGCAAATGCCATTAAAAAAACAAGGCAGATTGTGCTTTTTTGTCACTTCAAAAAGTAGTAATTGGCCACAATAATGGCAGTAATTGACTTCAATGGACACATTTCTACTTGCAATTCAAGATTGAAAATCTACAAAATCAATTGCAAGTCTTAAATACTGTTTGTATAAGTATTTACTACAATGTTATATTCTTGATAACTACATTTGTCTCCTAACGAACGAAAAACAAACAAAAACCACAGGTACCAGACAGTTCTCCAGTATCAAAGTAGTTTCAACCAGTCATATTTTTGGCGAGCATGAAGCAAGCACACATTTAGCAGACAACCAGCCAGAAAGTAAGAAACGCATATTAAGTATGACTGAGATTCACAAGATACGCCAGTTACCATGTGAGCACACTTTGTGGCAGCAAATGGCAAGGAGTTTGTGTGGAATGCATTTCAAGTTCAAGGACGGAGTGATTTAGAAGCAAGATCATTTGTAGATTGGCTAGCATTGTTTATTTCCTGATAATGTTTTGTTTGTAAAACAAAACTTTATTAATGTTTTTTATGACTTGAGCACTGACCACCAACCTTGATTTGTTTCATAAATTAATTCTTCCTCTACAATGGAGATCTTATTACCTGCTGCCACAGTAATGGAACACTTAAAGGATTAAACATGAAAATAAAACTAATTTTATCCATGAAATAAAATTTGTACACTACTTGGAACATGTGTTCAAGACTCATAACAATCAGTTCTTCAAATGATAATATACAAGTTTCATGCAATTTTATGAATTGCATTCAGAATAACCACCATACAAATGCATGTATAATTGGTTCCTAAGAAAAGAAAAATATGAGAGTAGTATAACATGCAGTTTCTGCATTGGAAAAGCAAACACTTAATTTCTATCACAGGTTCAATAATTTCATACAAAACAAAAAATTACATTGCCCTCTGCAAAAACACTAATGGCTTACAGACAGTATGCCTGGAGTAACATTCATTATTTGCTTGAAGTTAAAGCAAAGAGTATTGAATTAAGAATTCAAATATATAAAAAAAAAAAATTAAAAACGGACCTCTTTCAGTACAAAAAGAGAGCTCTGTTACAAAACCCGAAACAAATCCTTACAACGGTTTCATTGCATCATTTAATACTGAAAATATTTAGATTCAAGAAGTTCTGCACATGCCTCGACCAAAAACAATTTCCTTTTTGATACAAACAAAACATTCTTTACGAAAACAGGAAGAATGAATGCACTACTGGATTGATAACATCAATTGGCATCCAAATTCAAATATGGAACAAATGAGGTCAAGGACTGAACGTTTAACTTTATGGAAAACAAAAAGAATCTCGCAATAGCTCTCTTGAAGGGTTAACTTTTAGCCACTAGATATCAAATCACAAAAGATTAATGTTCCTCAGCAGTCAGTGTTGGGCCATAAAAAATAAGTTCAGGGATTTGTCCTCCTTGTACACCAGTTCCATTAGTACTCTCTGAAGAACACTGAAACTGGAAAGTTACACATCCCACAGTCACCTCACTCATTCCTTCTTGTCCAAAATAACTTAACTCTCCACCATCCAATATAGCAGATGCTGTGTAAAAGGATTCAGGTTCTACTTGAATGGGATGTTTAAAATAAACATGAAAAGTATTGCTTGATCCATCAGAGAAAAATTTGGTTTCGTTTTCAGCCATAATTCGCCCACAGCGCTTCAATTCTATTTTCACATTATAATCGGCAGCACCACTGGAGGAACCATACAGTCCAAAACCCACTACAAAAATTCTCTTATCAACACTGAATTGTATACTATCACATCGTCCTCGGTAACGCCACTGGTTACTTCTGTAAGCACATGACTGGAATCTATGGCAAACCTGAAAAGAAAAGAAAAAAAAGATGACATTAATAAGCAATGTGAGATTGAGGAAAATATCTGGGCACATTATAAACTTTAGAACACTAAATCATCTTTAAGGTACCAAGTATCAGGATACTAAATAACGCTTAGAGAAGGTAAAAGGACAAAATAGAATAGAAAGGTACAGTTAATTTACTGAGATATTCCAGACAAAATTCATTCAAGTAGTATAATCGTGCCTCAATTCTTTTGTGTAAGTAAATGTTAAAACTAAACAGTCACTCCAATATATTACCCAATAATATTAGACATCTCTATTCATTTCTAAGGAACACAATAGTAAATCATTACGCCCCTAACGTACTGTGTAACTGACATTTGTAACAATGCATTTCCCCCCCTTTTTTTTGAAGAAAATGTTCTTAAATGAAACAATCTTTTGAAATTCGGTATTATGGACAAAACATGGATTGTGACAGACTAACTTAACAGAGGATTACTCCACGTTCAATGGCAGTAAATGGAGAAGAGAATGTTACAGAGATCACGAAAACTGTAACAGAATTTTCTTTTTAAATCTTCATCTAGAATGACATTTTGGACTATGTAACAAAATAGATTTTCCACAAATTTATTTCAAATGTTCACAAAATAGTATATCATTGCATTCACCTCTTCCGAATGAAATCCATCTCAGACGAAAAAAACCAGTGACACTTAAAAATTTCAATAACCCTTAAATAATTACATAAAAAAATTCTACAACTAATGGAAATTGCACATTACTTGCCTCAATTCACTTTTTATTATAATACTAGAATTTCCTCAACTACTTATATTTTTACAGCATTTTTTTTATGTGCATGTTGTTGAACTTTTACAGTGAACATTGAATTGCTCTTCCGCTTATCTCTGGTTACTGATTCAGGCACGTGTCCATGAGCATTTCCTATTTCAAGAACATTATCTTAATATTTCAGACACCAGAATTATTATTATTATGAAATATATATTTTGTTTTCATCTATATGCAAATGATATTGCAATATAATTTTCCTACTTATGGACACAGTATTAATTTTCTGTCAGATTTAGTAGCTTATAAATTGTACAGTAATTTATTAATAAGATGTCCAGAGTTACAATTAAAAAACAAAAGACTTGTGAAAATTAATTTTTAACACATTTATTATTATGGTTTCAATTTCCTAATGATAAAGATAACATATCTATTTGTGACAACATGAAAAGCAGACAAAATATCAAGAGTCATTGTGTATGTTAAAATTACTTCACAGAGCCTTCAAGATCTTGTGAGATGAATTTTACTACCTTTCTAAAAATTCCTTCCCAGCACTCTCATTTTCTTTTATTCACTACAATTTCTGTCTTAGTACATTTATTTTATGACAAATTGCAAGTGTTTTTTACATTTTGTATAAACAAAGCTTTGAAGTTTATACTTGCAAAATTCACTTTGTTTTAAATTATAGAATCAATGATTGTGAAATATTTAAAATAAAAGAATGCAACACCTCAGATATCAATCTCAATGCCACAAACATCTTTTGAACAAGTGTCGATCCTCAATCTTGATTCAAAACGGAATGTAATTTTACTTTCGCACCAAGGAAATGTAGACAGACATCCATGTATCTGCAAATAACTACAATAACCCAACTATTGTTCGCTAAATTGAATATCTTCTTCCATTATCCAAGAATTGCCATGCAAACCTCATTTGTTGGCACATACGACAGATTTTTAATGAGATATTGTTGTTGGTAATTTTTTATCATTGGTTATTTTAGACAATCGATGGTAGTAAGGAGACAGCTGAATTCAATATAACATTTATTTCAATTAGTTGGTAGGTTATTTAGTTTACCAACTTTAGTTTATGCCCCAAGAAATGTTTATAAAAATATTCCACGCATCATTGAGGAGTGTGATGTATTTGTCACATTCATTCTTTTAGTTCAAAAAAAGCAAAATACAGGGCAAGAATTTATTTGCGAAACATAGGCACTTATTCGATACAATGACTAGTGAACAACCACAATTTTTTTTTTTCTTTTGCGAGGAATGGTACACCGCATTTCAAGTACAAACCAACATCACATTTTATGCAGATTGATACAACAACACATTTGCATATTGCATATCTATGCAACAGTCAGTCTCTAAAACAGTCCTTATTCTTGATAAATGGAAAAAAAAATCATATAAAAATTATCATTCTTGACTGTGCGATTGAGCTACATGAAAAAAAATATGAAAACGAGAGAGGAGTGAAATGCAATGGGGGAGGATGAGCGTGATATATATGCCACACTAGCATTTACACACCTCCACAGCTTCCCATAATAATAAAATTAATGAAATAACTTTCATTGCTTTTATAACTATTTGTGAACGATATACCATTATCATAAATTAAATTGATAACAATATAGGCTATGAATTCAACTTACAAATGATATGGGTCCTTTGGAAAAAAATAAAAATTTTTGAACAGCGGGAATAAATATTATAACGCTTTTCTTGGGCAAGATTACATAATGCACTGATGTGTAATAAATAATCGTCAAAATTTGGATAAAATATAAAGAAACACATCCTCACTTATAATTTCCACATCACACTCATGTGCATTTTTCCCAACATATATTGCATGCAGACGTAGGTTAACCCAGAGCACTTATCAACGCATCTTCATGTGGGGTACCAAACACTGTCATCATGCAATTCTGAATTTGGGTACGAAAAAATGCAGAATTTTGAAATTAAAACTATTTTTGAAAGTTCATTAAATATTTTTAAAAAATGAATTTTAAGAAATTTGGTAGAATAAATTAAAGTTAGGCAAAATATGTAACACAGAACAAAATATGCAACAAAAAATTTGGATATTGTGTTAGGATTTACATGTTTCACCAAGACCACAATTGAGAACTGAACATAAAAAGACAAAACATATGTAATTACATAAGGTTTGATGTTTATATCATTGGCCAAATGATTTTATTGACTCACTGTAGAACAATGCTCAACAATCATATAGACTGAATTATAAGAAAATGTTACATGGTATTTGTCTTGTCATAAAGTGCAAGAAGTGCTCTCGACTATTACATCAATTTTGCAACTGAATGTTTCTCCTGAAAGCTTTCGCAAATCACAAAAGATACATATTAGTATTTCATTGTCCTTTTTCACTTTATATTCTAATTATAACACTGGTCAACTGGTCATATCTTTGTGATTTACTTGTTCTTTTCTTTTGGGCTGCAAAGGAAAAAGTGCCATCCTATGCCCAAAATTCTGCCCTTGTGAGCAGAACATGCTGTGGTACTAAAAGACAAAGTTTATAAAAAAAGTGAGGTAATCAAAAGTTTTTGAAAATTTTCAATTTTCACTAGCAAATAACTCAATAGCTTTTGGGGAAAGAGTAATGGATACAAACAATCACGTCAGCAATACTGAAAGCTTTAGTTTTGAATATAATAACTTTCTATTTGCTATGATGCACCGTTTTTGATAAATAAGTAAAAAAACAATTTCTGTTTAGAGATCTGTTTAGAGTGGTAAAGATGTTATTAATTCATTAACATCCAAATTAATCTTGTGTGCATTGCGCTCGCACATTGTTGTTGCATTCGTGCGTGCAGTCATTGATGGAGCTCAACATTTTTTTTAACTTTTAAGGCTAATTCATAGTTGTGTTGCTAAATTATATTAGCAGCTAAGCAAGATTTCAGATGAAGATTCAAACCGATACAAATCATGAATACACCCTGATCATGAGTGTACACTAATTTTGTAATCTCTGCTAAATTGACATCTGGCAATCAGGATGAATAAACTTGCTTCTATGTTTCGTTTAGGATATCTTCGCCTATTGAAGAAATAAAAGTCACGAATTATGTCAAAAGAAGCAAATTTGAGTGTGTCCTTAAATGAGGGCATGAGGTGTTAATGGGTTAAAAAAACACCCCAGACCTACAACACACGAGGAGTACAGGAGAATACATAAAGTCTCTATTTTGTTTTTTCATGTGAACTCAAGTAGAAAACTAGATTAGTATGGGAAAATGGGATGAAGCAACATACAAGACATTATGACGTCCCCACAAACCTTTTCAGGACAGAATTCAGTAAAAAAGGACGATCCCACATTTCACAGGAAGTAAGTTTCCTAATCTGTGATACAGAACAGAGGAATACAAGAGATGGGGTGGTTAATGGAGGAAGAAAAGAGAGCAGGTGGAGAGAAATAGACATCTTCAAAGTATATGGCACGTTCAAATGGCATTCTGTAGTGAGATTTGGATTTCTATTAACACTTTCACTAATATTATTGGAATGTTCTTTGATTCTCATTTTGACTTTCCTTTTAATCTTACAAACAATAATTCATTATCTTTACAGTTTAATTAGTAGACTATATTTTCTGCCCCCATTATTGTTAAGATCTTTCATGTTATTTCATAACATTTCTTATATCAATGAATTTATTTCATATTAGGTTTCTTCTCAAAATCTTTTTTTTACTGGATTTGCTATTTTGGAATTATATGGTAAAATTGTTTCTTTGGTTGCAATGTATCTATCATTGGTATTTCTCCCTTGATTTATATAATAGGGGAATAAGTATATGGTTAAGTCTCTTGATAACATATTTATTTATGAATCCTGAGGGATAGTTATGTTAAAAATTGTTTTATTTTGTTTAGATTAATTGACATAGAAAACGAAGCCTATTAATTAAACTGTATAGATTGTGAATAATATCATCTTGGCCAGACTATACAAAACCTCAAAATGAGGATCCAAGAGCATTCCAATTATATTAGAGAAAAAGTTAACTAATGGAAATCCATATTGTTTCACAAACATTAAATATTAAGTTGAATAGAATTTTGGACAGCATTGTAGAATGTAAGAACTTTACAAAAGCATATAATCACATTTTGTGCAAATTTAAATAAATAAAACAGTATTTATATCATCCATCTCAAAAATCACATCAACATCTCCCTGCCCAACCTTTTTTCCCGTCCATCACCAATGACATTCACAATCATGCGCACATACAACCTTAGACCTCCAAGATGATTTGATGATCATAAGCACTTCTTTTACTGGAGGTGGAAATAATCGACCATTTAATAATTCAATCAATAAAAGAGAACTATTCTATAGTGAGTAAATAGAAGTATAGTAACAATAAGATACACATCAACTCACGATTGCAAGGTGAACCTTCAATGTCTTGAATTTTTATGTGCATATTTTCATGTACTTTATTTTACTTAATTACAGTAGAACCTCGCTAATTCAAAACTTCGAATAATTCAAACAAAATTCAGGGTGGAGGAAAAATACACAAAATAAATAAAATGCGTATTTGTAGTGTAAAAAAAAAAAAAAAATTTTATAATTACTGTAGAACTGAACAACTAATTATTGAACAGTCAAAATGAAACAATTATACTCTGTGGTTACCAGTGCAATATCTTATATTACGTAGCAGTATTTTTCACGAAGAGGAACTTGCGAAATCAGTAATCTTTAGCTGTAAGGATCTGAAACTGCTTGATGAAATGATGTGATGATGCGACTGTTACATTACGTTGCCGTTTTTCACATTGCATGCTATGTTACATTGTCTGGTAATCCTACATATGTATTTGTATATGTATGGTACTTATTTCTTTCTCTCTCTCTCTTTTTTTTTTTGGATAATTCGAACATTTCTAAAACTGATCAGACTATACCCCCAATTAGTTTGGATGACTGGGGTTCTACTGTATTTGTGATGTATTTTTGGGTGAATTAAATTGTTTTAAATATTCCAAATACTTCATAATATTCCATAATACTTCATACATAAAATATCAAATAGTCATTAATCAATACATGAAATTGGCTATGTTTAAATACAATTTTTCTTAGTTTGTGCCTCCAACCAATAAAATTGTATTAACCTTCTTAGAGTATCAGATGACGCCAAAAACATACGCATGAAAATCAATTGTATCATGTTTAACAACAACGAATGCTATATTAAATACATCTGTTTACTACAACTGATTCTTTACAATAATTAGGGACCCATCAGGAATAAAATTGTTATGCATGGTAGAGTAAACAAATGAGTGTCCAATAAGCTTCTAGCTACCCAGGAAATGCTACACTGAAGATTGCTTACTCACATTTCAAATGAAGCTGTTTTTGATGCTGAACTGTGTCATTATACTACAGCTCAACCACTTAAAAAAACCTGGACTATGTTTGCGCAAAAAGTGGTGGAGGGGAAGGTTCTAAAGGTAAACCATTCGTATCACCAAAAAAAGAAAAATTATGAAATATAGGTAGTCTTAATGGCTGCAGAGTAATTTATAATAGCTTTGGGTGCAGTTCAAAAATTAGAGAAAATATAAAAGATAAGGCACATATTAGTGCTCCCTAGAACTAATGTAAATTAGATATAATTATATTTCATAGTTTTATCACAGTATAAGTACTTATACATATACTGTGGTTTAATGTTACATAACATTCACTTCAAACAACGTACCGCATTTTAATTTTCATACTGCTAAAGTTACAGAGGTCTAGCTTGACAAAAAAATAATAAAGGCATCAAATAGAAACATTACTTTCAGTTTTTTGAGTTATAGAATCATCAATCATTACAAAATCATTATTGTCACAAAATTCATCACAAACAATTTTTTAAATTCAAAGGTCAGGGTCACAGAAGTTTCTGGTGCTTATATACAAAGGACGTTTTTCAGCAGCAGAAATTCATAACTTCTACTAATTATATTTTTCAATGCTTTAAGTGCAGAGTTTTCAACATCACATTATTGGACAAATCTTCTCCAAAATCACAGTGTTTTTTCTCAAACAAGTTACAATTTTTCCAAAAACAACAAAAAATTTGTGAAACAAGGTTCAAGAATTTAACTGTAGCACTTAATTTCCTGTTCAAACGCTGTACATTATAATCAGATATCAAATCTTTTTCACTCCTATAAAAATTATGAACAAAAGGGCACAAGTGAATAGAAGAGCAGATTCAAAGCATTGAGCGATATGGTAGGAAAACTAATAAAAGACAAAAAGGAGAAAATACTACTCTTTGGAAAAGGAGAAAAGTAGTAAACAACCACGCAATAGTGGTTTTTAATTACTTTGTACTTTTTTAATTGTTTGTTCCTGCACAATGTTAAAAAAAGTTCAAATTATAAGCTCCTTCAATTTTTTTTGTAACTTTATTTCTAAAATGTGAAAAGAATTCTCAAACAATTGTAGTTACTGGAAACGAGGTGCATTTGATAGATTGTTAGGATGAAATGTTGACAACGTTGTCAACACAAATTTATCCCGTCTGAATTTGGAAGCTTAGATAGTCCAAAAACAATTCTTGTGGGTTCGATAAATTACTGGATTCTTGTTGAAGACTTGCATCTGATATTCAACAATTGATAACAACCATCTTCACTTTTTCCTTGTGCACAAAACATTTCTGAATATTTTCAAACCAACCATGGTTCAACTTCTTTCCATAATAAAAAATTAGAACAAAATTTATAATTATCTCATATAGCTTTTGTGAATTCTCAAAAAATATTTTGTCTTATGATTAAATAGAAATATTTCTCAGAGAAAATATTGTTTCTTCAGACTTGCAAAATGGTTTAAAAAATAAACAACAGAAACAATTATAATTACTTTCTTAAATAAAGTCACAATAATCAAAAAACAACAAGGTTGGTTTCCTTCTATCTCTTAAGTATATTAGTTTGTTTTCAATTTACCTACAATTTGCACTGAAGACAGGCTTAGAAATTATATTTTGCTTAACACTAAATAGAGATTTAATAAGCATCATTCGTTATTCAACTTTTAGCAAAAATTGTAGACATTTCATGAATCTGAACTACCACTTATAGCCAACATTTATTGTTATATTAAAACCAAGCATTAAAGCAGCACACAAACTCATCGCTGCACCTAAATAATGTATTTACAAAAAAATTTGACAAAAACTATGGAATGCAGACTCTTCAGACATGATAATCACTTCTCTATCTCTACAAAGCACCTGGTAATATACCCTCATTAACAGAAATTGGGTTAGTACACAAAAATTTACACAAGAAAAGTACAAAGAATGATCAGTAAAACTGACATTACCAACTGAAATACTTTCTACCTGTCTGAAAGGAGAGGCATTTAACACATTTAACTCTTGTGCCATACAGGAGCATACGCAGAATACCCAAGATGCCAAGAGCTTCATGTTGGATGGCCAACCGATGTATATCCACAACACCCTTCCAAAACTGAACATTAGGAGCACAGAAAATTAAGCTGTCTTGCCTAAGAAATGATAATTATGAATTAATACTCAGAGTAATTATTTCATTTGCTCCATTAATGTACATTTCACTCTCTACCTTCTAATGAATAGTCGTTCATTCAGTTGACGTTAGAAGGCATTTGTACACACTACATCATTGTCTTCTCCATATCTCCAATTACATCACGAGAAAAATGTTTGTAAATAAAATCAATAATCAAGGAGGAATATACACAGGGGGCAAAACCACCAAAAACTGCCAAGACAAAATAGCTGAATAATTGGAGAGAAGAAAGTAATTTATTTTGGTAACTAAATATCTTCAAAGCCATATTTCAATCAAAAGTGCATATCTAGCCTGACAGACATAGAAAAATCTCTAAACAGAAAGGAATGAAAGTAAACAGTAAAAATCAATTAATTAAAGTTGGTAGTTTCACACACCTGAGGTTGAAGGCCAGTCCGGGCCTTGGTTGGGAAGCTCAAAATTGGCTTCCTTGAGGCAGTAAAGTGCAGAAAAATGTCTATTGTTTCTTGCAGAGTCAAAATTCCATTTTGGGCTGCACCATTAGCAAATTCTTCCAGGCTCATTGTAGGAATTCGAACCAAGTACAAAGCATTACCCAGCACAATTCGCTGATTTTGTGGCGTTGGCTCAAGTTCCCGACGCGCACACTCAGCAGATGCCCAAAACATAGCAGCATCAAATAGATGCTTCTCTTTACAGTTCAATGTCTCACGTGCAAGAACTGACTCCAGAGTGTGAATATCTATATCAGGGAACCCATCTGACTGGAGAGCCATTTCAGCCTAGAACAATTTTAAAAGTATGTCAATAAAATGGAGGAAAGACCAATATGAGAGAATTAATGAATATTAGTAAATGCCATTGCCTATAGTTTTGTAAATTTTGTTTGTAAGTACTGCAAACTCCATAAGTACTCTAAGGACAATTAGAGCAAAGAACATGCCAAAGGCTTCTAAACAAAGCACTGTATGCAAACTTTTACACTGGTAATTGAGCTCCTTGGTTAAGCAGAAACATTAACTAGCGTTAGGTCTTCCTTCTCTTCATCAAAGAACCTATATTCCTTGAAGCATGTTACACACTGTCAATTTCCCAGCATGTTCTCACATCCTATTCATAAAAAAATTCAACTTTTTGCTGCCCACATTACCAGTAATTCACATTTATCAAAGCTTTAACATTTTAGATTTGTGAACATTAATCAGTGTATAAAATTACATCTGAATAATGTTCTAAATCTAAATGTCATGACAAGAACGCCCTTCCATTCCATATACACCAACCCTCACATTCGTAAATGAAGCTTTTTCGACAATAAAATCTGTAGAAAAAGATGCAAAACATAAGATACAAAGGCAGCAATTCAATCAACAACATGAGAGATTTTGATTCTGTAATATTCATATTAATTCTGTAATATTTATACCGAAGAAAAAGTAACATAATTAAAAAACAACATAATTTTACAAACATTTCTTTTATCACATTTATATCTTCTGCTATTCTATTAATTCTACTCACATTATAGCCATCTTTTTAATAAGAGCCATCAATTAATATACTTTCTTACATGGCATAAATAATTTTTAATTGTATGTTCAAATAGTCCAATAATTGTGACAACACACTGAATTTGATGCAATTACCTACTTTCTTTCTTTCTTCCCTTTATTCCTAGGACACTTAGCATTTTAAGCAAAATGACATCAAGATCAATATAGAAGTACAAGTTTTTAGGTAGAAAAAAAATTGAGCCATTTGAGAAAAATTTGCATAAACATTTGTGAAAATATTTTAATTTCAAATTTAGCGAAACTAGACGTTTTAAAAAACTATTGACATCAACTATTGGCTCCCTTATTGTTTTTACTTCACAGCCCAGTTACATTCTCATTGTTTTCAATGGTGCATGAGAATTACAGATAGGAAGTGCTACATTCCTGTGTGCCTTTTTTTGTGGGTGCAATTAAATTCTATAACACCTTTTGTTATTAACTTTTTGAGAATGTTTCAAAGTAGTGAAGAAAGGGAAAATTTGTTATAAGAATCAGCATTTAGCAACAGAGGAGCTGTATTATAAATGCTTAGAATAAGACACAGGAGATACAGCTTTACTATCTATGCACATTTTCTAGTGGAGGATATAGTTACTCAAATAATAGCTCTCCATGTTATCATGGCAGTAAGATGATTTCTTCACAAAGAACACATTGAGGGATAGCAGTCACAATTTGTAGATGATTTGCCTTAGCAAAGAGTTTATTCCATGGGCACAAATATTTGGTAAATAAATTAAATAAAGTGGTGAAAATTGGGAAAAAATCATCATGCGAAAAAAGAAAACTGTATAAAGAATAAAAGTAAAATAGAAAATAATTATAAACAAAAAAGTTTTATCTGTATGAATTTTTCAATTAACTGCAATAATTTCAAAGAAATAACATTCCAGTAGAATCACATGTTGGGGTTGGTGGCAAAACACTATATTTTAGAAACTTTACAATTGCCCTACAATAATACTAAATATACTTGTGTTATTTTGTTGTTGTTTTTCTAAGGTAATTTATGAAAAAGAGGAGGAAAATAACAGAACATTAAAAAATGATCAAATGATCAAAACTTCCAATTTTCATCTGTATGGGATAAACTATCTTATGTTAGAATTTGATTATGGTACTTCTAATTAGCGCTCTGAAAGTACACATGATTTCCTTCAAATACAAAAATACAACACTCGTCAAAACAGGACAATTTTACAAAAGTTACAACTTACTTTTAAAAAGTTAATTTCTACTTGATTTTAAAAGTAAGCTGTAAATGTATCTAATTATTTTGAAGAAGAATATTTGCACATTTTATTTTTGGGAAAAGATGATGTTCTTTCAGTTTGCCGATGAAAGTTCGGATTGTGATCAACAAAAAATATCGGCAAACAAATTTATGGCTTTAAAACGATTGTTTTGTTTTTGTGGTGGTAGAGGGATATGGAGGGGAAGAATTAAATTTTCACCAATACTGTTTAACAGAGGAGAGTTCTATTTTTCATGGTTGAAAAATTTATCAATTTCAGAATTGTCAAAAGAAAAATAGGTAAAAGAGTTTTAAAAAATACCACATCTGGGAACAGCTTTTATGGCCAACACGAGATTTTTGGGCTCGTCATTTATTTCAGAAGTATTAATGCATGGTTATCATTTCTAATCATCAAATCACTCAATAAAAATATATACTCATTAATGCCCATGCTTCTATAAATAATGATAACAGGACAAATCTACAGAAAGTTGAAGAATTTTGGGACAAGCTACAAATGGAAATTCTCAAACTTCCTTCTAATCATGAAAAAATTTTGCTTCGAGATTTCAATGCTCAACTTGGATCAGTGACAAAATTTTCTAATATAATAGATAAATATCCAACTTATAACAGAACCAATAGAAACGGTGAGAGATTGGATAAACATCTAAACTTAAAAATTATGTCCACACATTTTAAAGCAAAACCTAATAAAAAGAAAACGTGGGTCTTCTTAAATGCACTGATGAGCAAATTCCAGTTAGACCACGTAGCTATCCCTAAAAATTGCTAAAGAGAAATCAAAACGTTAAGGTCAGAAAATCCATCAATGTAACATCAGATAATTATCTATCTCAAAAATCAAATGAATTTCATACCTGCCATAAGAAAACAAAATATAAATAGAATCAAATTTCCAAAGATTAATAGAGAGGCTCTTAAAAATTAAAAAAGGTTAGAATTTCGAAAAGACTTAAAATACCAAGCAATTGGAATGATGAAACAATAACATTATTGAACATACCCAGGAAATTGCACCATTGAACTTTCACAGGAAACATGCTTGATGGAATGAAGATTGTGAAAAAGCAATCAAAGATAGACTTTGTGTCTGGCACAAATGGAATGGAAATAAGACTCCAGAAAACCTCAGAAAAGAACAAAGATTAAGAAAAATGGCTCACCAAACTTTATGGACAACTAGAAGAAAGTATACAAAAGGCCAAATTACGGAAATGGAAGAAAATTTTAAGAAAAATGACACACGACTATTTTACAGAGTTTTTAAGAATGAAATCATTGGATATGCAGCATTGAGTTCTAACTTCAAAAGGGAAGATGGGATACAACATTGAACAACAGGGAAAATTGATATTCAAGCAGTGTATTTTGAAAAGTTATTAAATTGTACAAAACGAAAAGCTATGCTTTAAGTTTACAACAGAATTCTGACTCTACCCCACCAGATGTAGACAAAATTAAAAGTATTATCAAATCACTAAAAAATAACAAAGCCTCTGGTGAGGATGGGACAATTGCAGAATTAAGAAAGATTGTAGGTAATGTATTTATAATAGCAACAACTAACCTCTTTCAAAAAATTTGGACTGAGGAAACAATTCCAGAAGATTGGCTTGTCGCCTTAATCCATCCATTACACAAAAAAGGCCCAAAAACTGAGGTCAATAATTATAGAGGTATCTCGCTGTTGTCTGTAACATATAAAATATTTTCCAAATTACTACTAAATAGACTTGAACCACAGATCGAATCGCAACTTGGTGAGTTCCCAAATGGTTTCAGAAGAAATAGATCATGAGCAGAACAAGTTCTCAGTCTAAAACTGATATTAAAATATTATAGCACTAGGCCGAAGAATATCTTTACTTCTTTCGATTTTCAAAAAGCTTATGATTCAGTGAATAGGTTGTTAGACCAGTAATCTTGTATTGCATGGAAACTACAAGCATAATGGGAATGGAAAATTTGCTGAAGATAGAAAAATTTTAAGAAGGATTTATAGTCCCAGAGAAACACAGGAAGGTAATAGATTGAGATCTAATCAATAATAAACTGAATATTCAGTACAGAGCAATCAAAATTCGAAACCCACAATAGAAGGATAAGAAGGATCTTTAAAATTTGTAATTGGAACAAAGAAAAGAGAAGCTTTATCAATTAACGTACTTTCATTTGCATCATAAGAACGTGCAATTCAATATTTTGTAAAATTCTTCATTATCAATTTCAATTATTGTACTTCATATATTAACAGATATGAATGATAACAGATAATTTATCATTGGTAAAACCACAAGTGCTTTGGAAATTGTTGATAAATCCCTGGCAATCGTCAATCAAGGAGGAGATTTATCTGAAAATTTCTAATGTACGAGTACTATTTAACACGACTATTCCACAAATGAAATTACATCCAACAGAGTTCCAAATTGTGCCAAATATTGAAAATAACCAAAAGCATATTAAAATCAAAGAGGTATTATTATAGTACATATGCGGTTTATTGCACATCACAACAGCGATTGATACATACCGTCTCCTAAGACATGAGTTGCAACTTATTATAGGCCAGTAGAAGGGGTGGTAAGAAAAATCAGATAGAAAAGGCAAAAAAATTCTTGAGCTACATGCCCTGAATGGGGCATTTTATAGGTATAGTTCAACATCATTGGTTTTAATTTCACGAGTGGAATAGTTACATAAAATAAATTGCTTCTAATGTGACCCCAACCATGATAACCTCCCTTAGTTCAACTTCCTAACAATTCTTACTCCAAATGCTGAGCTCATTCCTTGTTCGTTCCTACATAGAAAATTAATATCCCTTTTACATTGCAAGAAGTTGAACATTTGAACTTGACTGACACAAATAATCAGAGCTACAACCTGGAGGGGGGAAGAGATCGTTTTCTTAGGGACATTTTTTTTTCAACGTTATTTATTAATATTGATAACAAAAAAATTGATATATTAAATGACTTTCCTTAGTATAGAAAACTAGTAAAAGCTATATTTTTTAATATGCATCATTGGCTTTGGGTGATGGGGTGCTGAAGCCCCATGAGCCCGCTGCAAATAATCATTAAATTAACAAACATAGTCTATCTGAGAAAAACCTACTGATCTTAGAGCACAAGTAACATGTAATGAAAGAATCATTACGGTTGCCAATATTAGTCTAGAATATCTGTCTTTCTCAGACATGGATGGGCAACGTGCACAAACCAGCAAGAGAACAAGCATGCATCCAGTTCTCAAAAACAATTAAATACAGATGCACACTAAGCTTGCTTGTTTTATTTTCATTCAAACCAGAGGGCATTACACTAGTCGATAGTAATTGGAATAATTATTTTATAAAGAATTAAATGTTTAATTCCACATGTTCAGAGAATACTAAAGCCACAGACACAGCACAATTAATTTTGGCGTTTCACTATACTGACGACACTAACAAAATTTAAGAAAAATTGGACTTGTTTTATAAAGTGAGCAACAGAAGTAAATATCTCATTACCAATAATGTTGAAAACTATACTTCAATAAGCTAGATATTTGGGCAGCATGCCCTTCAAAGTTCCAGAAACGAATAAGGTAGATTATTGTCTTTAAACATATTTTGTTTTTACAATATCAGTACACAAAAAATATACTCCATATTCACACAGGTACAGAGCAAACTCATTGATTACAGCGACTTCATGAAGTGATAATAGCAATAGTTGTGTCTGACCTGAGCATCAATGACCTCCCAGCACCTCTGCATTAATTCAGGTTCTTCAAATAGCCTGGACTGGCTTAAAAGAAGGCATGCATTCTTGGCAGTCAAACTCGTTTCCAAGTAGTTCACACATGCACGTGCAAGATGGGGAACAATATATTTTTTGGCAACATATAATGTAGCCAAGACTGTGTCCGCTTCCAATTGAATTTCATCACAATACAGATATCTGTAACAATATCATTCACACTCTTTTTACAAAAAATCAGCAGTTACTACTATATTTCAAAAGTAAATGAATATACAATTTCTCCAATGGCTAAAAATTAATAATCTATTTTCCATCACAAAATATGAAGTCAATAATTATAATTCTTTATTTTTTGAATAGCAATAAAAATTTTGAACTTCACTGTTGGAGAAAGTTGTTCATACTTGGCATCAATCACAAAATACCAAAAACAACTTGAAACAAATTTGAAATTTACCTTAACAACGTAAGAAAAGCAGAAGGCTCCACATCAGGTACTTCAATTTCCGCCTTATTTTCGGCCAACCCCCCGTAAAACATAGCATAAAACACTGAGCTTCCAGTTGCCAAGACGTATTTATGAGCTGGAACTGTTTGTGTATGGCCTGAAACAAGTGACATGTTCAAATTTACACACTTCTGATCATTACTTCAAGTACATACAAACATAGCCCCATGTTCTAGATAACTTTAGGTCTTATGTTTTGAGTATTGTTTCCCTAGATTTATCTTAACAAACTTACGAGGAGGCAAAGGTGCTACCAAAATTGCCATAGTACTAAAAATATCGTCGTAGTAGCCACAATAAGTCGTATGTCAAAAAAATTATTTTTGTTTATTACACCATTGTGATCAATCTAGAGAACTGCAGCAGTTGCAATAGGTCATAAGATGATAGACAAATGAAAAACCAAATATCGTGAAGGCACATTTGTGAAAGCAACTGTCATTTGTTAAAGCGACAGGGAAAGGTAGAGAACATTTTTCGTTCCTCCTGAAAACTTTGGTAGATTTGACATACAACCTAATGCAGATACAAAGATTATATGTTGATTGTTTATTTCGGTTTTCAGGTGCATGAACTGCTATGGTCAGTAGTCTCAAGAGTGTAGTGCATGTTATATCTTGGGGGGCAGTAGCATTCCTCCCTTCTAGAACATTAAAAACAGGCACTGAACTACAGGTTAGCTTGTATCCTTCAAGTATCCCCTCCAGCAGGGCACTGACCCCGACAGGACAAGCTCTAAGGTTCTGAAGACCTGTCTCCTGACATGTAATAGTCTACTGCATGTAAGCGTTCTTGTGTATCGAGTGTATTTTTCTGTGCAAGGGGAAAGGAAAGGACAACAATGAGAAAGGAAAGATGTGGTCTATGGTTTGTTGGGGTACTGCTCCAGCATTGATAATGATTGAAGTAACCATGGAAAACTACCAATCTGAGCTGATGGCTACTACAATTCTCTTGCCGACAGAGGCAGAACTCAAGCTAGCTACTTAACTAGTGACAAAAAGCTGACATCTCCAAGACTTTCACTTTCCTGAGCCATCTCAGGCAGTAAAAAAGGCATTTGAATATAGAGCAGTATTGGCATAAATTGGTGCTTAAAAGCAATTAGCAAACCTTCAAATCAATAGAACTATGGATACAGGTTAATTCACCTCCAATCAGAGTGGTAAGTTAAGTAACAATTATTTTACTAACAGCTTCCTTTCATAAAGTTACAATAATTGTGAGACCCATATTAAAGATTTCCCACATGTAAAAGCACCTTAGAATTTTACTATTGCCAAGAAAAATTCAATGTCCATGATTTCATTTCAAAATTGAGAGGAAGAGAAATTGGCAATAAAATTTTCAATATATTTTAATACGAAATTTACATCCATTCCATCTCTTCAATACAGATAACAATCAAGAAATTCTGAATGATTCATTTATTGTATGATGGCACACATACATCCTTCAGTAATAACTTCAAAACATTACAACATATGCTGACATTGATGCCCCAATCAAAACGTGTCATTCTTGTCTTTCATGAGTATTCACACTGCACCAAAACTCGAATATGTACATGTGGTCAAAGAAAAGAAAACACTCTCTTTTCACATGCACGTTGTGAAAAAACAATTAATATAGAACTCCTTTCATAACCACATGCATTTGTTCTTCAAGTCCTCAATTTCTTTTACAATATTACATTCTAAGAAATATGCTACTGTATGAAATTTGAATTGCACGTTACCTGGGCTTCCTACAACAAAGTGTATGTCTGACATCAACTCATTATTAAACATAGCAGCATTTCGTTCACAGACAGTTGTCCTTTGAGCTTGCCAGTTGGGATCTCCAGTTGTTACCTTGGAACACACCAAACTAAACGAGGTGTTAAATGGTGAGTTTCCGCTAGGTGAAGCAATAGGAGAACTAGGAACACTTGCAGGCTGGGTTATTTGCACAGTCTCTTGCTGTGAGATGCTCGAGGATGTTGAAAGGCCACTGTTACTTAGGGTTTCCACTGTAGGTAAAAATATATTATTAGTGACATCAATACATTATTAGACAACAATCTAAAGTTAATATGTTTACAAATTACAAATAAAACCTGTGTATGTTAATGTCAACTGTTATAAATGAATTTAGTGACAATAGCCATTCATACATGTAAGCAAATAAAACAAACAAATGAAGTTCACTCCACAGTCAATCAAAATATCAATACAGTTGATGTATGATATTTTATTTATTTTCTGAATCATTACATTTAAAACTCATGAAAATTCTTTGTATGTCATGTCCTGTCAATGTAACTTAGAATGATATATGCAATTACTTTCTCATATCAATTCTCCATGTTGAACATGTCATTTTCAAATTACGTTGTTACAGAAAGTATGTGATGGCAAGGTCAACAAAAATAAAATAAAACAGCTGTTGTTGTTTCAATATATACATACATATAATTCTTTATTGAAATACGTGTAATAGACGTAAAGATACAAATTTGAATAAAATTCGGTACCGTATGAAAGCATTAGTTAAATTACACCAACTGTCAACGTCTGAATGTTTGACATTAACACTGATTGCCATTTGCAAGAACTACGAGACAACCACAGCAAGCTTTCTCTTTCGGACACATAAGTCACATTCGTATTCCATGGGTTTTGCTGTAGTATTGAGTGAATAATACCCAACAATTGGGTAATTATATGGTACAACATTGCAATTTCTCGTTTTTTCTCGATACTAAGTCGTCAATCACTAAAAAAATGGCTCACACATCATCTTACCATTCACCCAAGCATTAGTTTGCGTCACAGTAATGTTATCCTGGGATCTCTTAATTGGCTTGGGAGCAATTTTGGAGTATAAATTTGACATGGCCATGCCGAGAAAATGTTTTCACGGCTTAACCCGAGCATGCGACGAAATAACAAAAACAGAGATGTCCACACAACCACAGTCCCAGTCCAGTTGCACAAACACCTCCAAACACTATCAACTGCCCAGGGGGCGTTCAGAAACGTACGGATTGTCAAGTTAGCCAACACCACAAAACTTAAAATAGCGCAATTATTTTAGGCAGATGGCCATAGTTTTTCAGCGGCACATTCGAGAGAGGGGAAGATGTTAGCTTTCCCTCGAGTACTTTTATGGATATTTTCTTTTGTAAAGAAATAGATTTTGTATGAAAAATATATGGAGTGAATTTTCGTTTCGTTCTTTAACTTCTTTTTTTCTGCAATGAGGACTTAAAGGCTATGTATGAATGTACTTTGGCATAACAACTCTTTACGAACTAAGGCATAATCGCAGCATCGGCCTTACGGCCGTTAGCACATAGCCATCCCTACGCTGTATTTCTGTTATTCTTAACCTAAGAAGTGAGCTTTCTTATTGTCATACAGCAACAAATAATGGGATAATGCAAGGAAAGCGCACAATTAATGTTTGCCTCAAGCGGGAATCGAACCCGGTGTTGCACTGTGGAAAGCGACCACACTAACCAACGAGCCACTGGGGGCTGGACTTTTAAGTTATACCGTGTCATATTCCACTTGTTTTGTTGTTGTTCCATTAGTTTCTAAAATAATTTCAAAGCTATTTACACGTTGTACTGTTAATTTATGGTAAGTGCTCACCCACTTAACGCATTGAAAATACATTTTCCAGGAATTTCACAATACTTGCGTGATTCATGTGTGCAAAATATTTAGTTCGAAAAACTTCTTACCATACAGCGGGGAGGGAGGTAGCTAAAATTATACTTACTTATTTTCGCATTATTACCTGCAAAACAGAAGTCGCGAACTTGGGGTTATTGAATTCTTCCAGTTTTGGAATATTTCCATGCATCAATCAACAAGGGTATAAGAAAATTTTCCTGTTTTCACAGCTATAATATTGCTTTTGGCATAACTTTAGCTGTGAAGATATAGTAAAATAAACTTTACATTTCAATTGAGGTACAAATCTGTTTGCCGTACCTCAAATTCCCCAGAAAAATCATTGCATCAGTGATGAAATAAGGATTTTGAAGAATATTTTTCGGGTTAAAATGTTATCAGATCTATTTTATAAAACAATTAACATTAAATTATTAAGAGAACGTCTAAATAATATCAACAGCACATACTTTCTTGCTTTATTTCTAACTTTTGCAATTTTCGAAATTTCAGAGAGTTCAACAAAAATTTAAAAAAAAATTGGGATCCATTTTTAGAAAATAATTGTATGAAAATTGCATATTTTTCCCACTATATTACCCAAAACCACTCATATTTTCGAAAAATTATGCATGAGCTTCTTTCAAAATCCATATTAAAAAAAAACATGTTATTAAAGTAAAAATATCAATCTCCAATATTGTAGCTTTAAGAGGACGCCGAGAAAATGTTGAACTTTTGCAATTTTCGAAAATTCAGATATTTTAACGTAAATGAGACCTTAACCAATTTGTTAGTGTCCTATACCCTATTCGAGAAAATTGACAATAAAAAAATGTGGAGTCATTTTTTAATGTAAAAAATGGAAAAATTGTTGTACTTCATGTAAAGAACATCTCAGAATCAAAATATCTATTTCAAACTCGTAGAACCTCGAGCTCGTTCAGATCTATTGGGGAATATAAAAATATAAATTTTGAAGAAAATAGTCTGAATGGTTAAGGAGCTAGCTTTGAAAACAGATGAACAATGGACATAGTTTTATCAAGAACCCATAAAACGTGCATTCTGAGTACACAACGAGTTAGAGAAAGTAATTTACTACATGTATGAACAAGATTTTCCACTTTTTAGTTACCAGGGCTCCACAAAATAGGTTTTTTTTCTGTCGAAAAATAGCCGATACTTGCCGCAACATTACAATACTTTCTCTTCACTGTATAAGTACGTAGTAGGATGAGAAAATAAACAAGAGGTGCAATAACAGCACATTCTTTCTCACATTATTTGTAACTTTTGCAATTTTTGAAAAACAGAAAGTTCAACGAAAATAAGACCTGCACAATTCTTTTAAGCGTCCCTTGTTCTATTTGTGAAAATAAAAGTTAAAAAAATGATTATTCTTTTGAGAAAACGTTTTTTTTGTATATACTGCATTAACATTATACAGAAATTACGCCAAAAATATCATATTTCAAATAAAATTCTAAATGATCTTTTTCAAAGATCTTATGTTCTACGACAGATTTCAAATAAGAGAACAGTCTCTGTCTTCAGTATTGTACATTTGCAATGTTAACTTTTTACAATTTACGAAACTACAGACTGTTTGCTGGAAATGGGACAGCATCATTTGATACAGACAAGAAAAAAAAATAATGAAAAAATGTGGAGCCTTTGGTGAAAATTTCGCAAAAACTCTTCATATTTTCAAGAATTGTACATGTCGTTATTTCAAGATCTGGCATTGGACAACAGATATCAATAGGGAAAAATCTAAATCTTCAACATTGTAGTTGTAGAAAGACGCCTAAAAAACTAATTTTTTGCAATTTTCGAAAAAATGGGATTTCAACAAAATGCAACCTGCGCCGTTATTTTGGGCGACCGTTACACTATCCGAGAACAAATTTTAATAAAAATAGTTTTAGGTAATTTTGGAAATATTTCTGAGGCAAAATATAATGTATCCCTAGAAATCAAAATATCCGTTTCAAATTCGTAGAACCGTGAGTTCCTCTAAATCAATCGGGGAATATCAATTGTGGAGAAAATCGTGTGAACAGGTTAGGTTGGGGCGTTGCCCACAGACGGACACACAGACGGACAAACGGTCGTTTTGCAGTCAATCGAATTTTCGGTATCAATAATGCACAAATAATGGATTCTGACTACACGACGTGTTGAAGGAAGTAGTTTTAGTTAGTTTCTTACTTAGTAAGACGAGAAAGTAAAAGAAATGTCGCAGCCCATTTCAAGTCTATCTCAATCGTCTCGACTTCTTACGACACTGGTCTACACAATGGAGGCATACGCTCTACATACAACATATGATAGAAACTCAGGACACAACTAGTTTCAAGGCAGGCAAAAGGATTATGGCGAATAATGGGCACTCCGTACTAGAAAGTTTTTAAGTATAATGGAGTTTCATATCTGAAAATTTTAATTAAAAAATATCGATTTACACCCATTTCATTTTTTGCACTTGAACATTGCTGATTCCCTGACGTTACAAAGGTGTTTTCTAATTTGTACACCAAAGCTGAGAAAGCTTGCTCCGTCCGCCTTGATACGTTGTGCTGGATTCCTTTCTTAATCAACAGATACCCCACGTAATTTAAGTAAGCATGATCTATTGCTATGCCTGAGAAAACCTCAATCTGAAGAAGAGGCTCCTGAAGGAAACCTTCGTGTGTGTGACCTTAAGCACTAGGGGAAGATTTAGGTACTGCGGGGCCCAAAGCAAAAAATCGTGTTGGGCCATCTTCGGAAAACATCCTCCAGATTTACTAAAAAGCACACGAATTGTAATAGAATAATTGTTTTGTGCGTTGGATTCTTCGATTAACATTTACTTTAGAGATGCAAGTATATTTTTTTCAGTCATTTTGTTCCAATGGGGGTGGGTTAGCAACTGCTAAATTCGTTTGTACGTACGAGTGAATTCACGAAAAATAAAAGAATCTACGGGTAAATCCGTACGTTCACAATATTAAGTTTTGAAGATGTCTAATAACAAATTGTCAATCCGGGTAACCGAGATCGCTAAGGCAGTAGTGTCGAGGCGATCTCGGATTGAAGGATCGCAGGTTCGAATCCCACCTCGGGCATGGATGTATTCGTGATCGTCCTCTCGCCCCTTATCATCATCCTATTACGCCATTTAAGAAATATTAATAATTCCCTGCTCAAGCAGAAGGCCTTTTCCCTAATGGGATGTGCAGTTGGCTAATAATAAACTAATATATTAGATACGCAAAATTCATTATTTTCTCACTATCGCTTACGCGGTAGAAAGAAAATCATGTAACGCTGTGCGGAAAAACAACCAATTTTCGGCAGGAAAACTATTGGTACATGGCCTTGGTAAAAAAAGTGCATAACATCTGTTGCTAAATATAGAAAAAATCCCATAACACGTGATGCAGTCAGAATCCATCTTCTGTGTCCTTGAGGCCGAATCCAGTTGCTAAATTCAGAAAAAAATTCTCTAACAAGTGTTAGCCAGAACCCACGATTTTTTTTCTTTTTAAGGTCCCATCAACTTTTAGGTCAATAGCGATCATTATTGCGTGTAACTGTATGGTAACTATGAGGATGACATATGATAACGCGAGGTCAAAGGACGAACACAATACAACCATGCACGAGGCGGGACCTGAACCCGCGATCCTTCGGTCCGAGATCACCTCGGTACTCTTGCCTTAGCAATCTCGGCCATGACATGTTTTGTGGGCCCTTGATACCGAAAAATCGAATGATGGCAAAACGTCTTATCTCCGTTTGTAAACAACGCTAGCGGATAATCCATTCAGCTGATTTTCTCAAAATTTGATATTCCTCAATCGATCTGGCCGATGTCGTTGCCCCTTGAACTTGAAACGGGAATTTTAATTTTAATAATACATTACATGAAGTCCCAGGGACAGTTTCAAAAAGTGGCTGCATCGTTTTTTATTAAATTTTGTTGAATAGAGTGAAGGACGTGTAAAAGAATGGTGCCGGTCTCATTATCGTTGAAAACTGATTATTCGAGAAAGGAAAAAATTCAAACTTTTTTGCAATTTTCGAAAATGCAGAGTGCACCGAAAATAACCATCACCACTATCTTTACAGTTCTTTTCTTTCTCTTTCAGTATCTTTACACTTACATGTATATATAGAAGGAACCTCCACATTTCGAGGATAAAATGAAAGACAAAATTTGAAGCCGTGTCTGAGATAATTGTTTAAAAAGGTTTTAAAAGCGCCTATGTTTCATCTAAAATTCCGCAAAAAATACTCATATTTTCGAAATTTTGAACATGACCCCTTTGAAGACTTATTGATGAACACATTT